CCTCAGTTGCACCAAGGAACACTCTTCCCCAGACACACATGGAGAATATCAAGCAAGCAAACATTTCTGTGACTCTTCTAGCACAGTTGGCATCTGTTCTGATAGACAGTACCCATTGCTGTACTAACTATTAAATACTTTTATTACTACCCTTCCATACAATCACATAGATAACTCCTTGTTTTGAGTCGTTATCTCTGTCCAAAATTTATTAGGATGCTTTCTTTGATCATGATATTTAAAAATAGTACCTCTCTCTATACACATACGCTACCTGAACACTGCCCTCAACTCACCCAGGTCTAGTCCTTCATTATCTCCTTACCCTGCTTCATTTTCATAGCATTTATTGCACTCTATAGTATTATAAAACACTGTTCAGCACAAAGTGAGTACTAAGGAAATATTTGCTAAATGCATAAATACTGAATCACATGTATTTTCCATTCTTCTCTTTATTACAAATTTAAATTATTGTTTAAATTACCCAGTAGATCTTAATGAATTAAAGAACATGGACACAGATTTAAGGAAAAGGAAGTCTCTTTGATTCCATAAAATGTTAAACTGAAAAGACTTCAACATATCAAAAACTCCATCATAGGCTTCTACAAGAGGAAAATCATTAAACAGTAATATATGAAGTAATATTTGACCATTAATATTATGCTATATTAATTAAGCATAAGGTAAAATAAATAGTCCTTAAGTTGTCTGAAACTAAATATATGAATAGAGTACCTAATTTAAGGAACAGTTTTCCTCTCTTATGAACTGCTCTTTGTTGCAGTATCTGATGATCACAAATGTTGTCACGAACTTGTCTCCTCATGACCAGTTAGTAGTTTTGGCCAGAGAGAGGCTTACTTTCCTCTCAAAAATCTGCCTCTAATATTTTGGCAATTTATATCAAATTCTGGTAAAAAGCCATACTATTTGATTTAAGCTGGTTGTCAAAGCTCTAAATTAATGGATCTCTGCCTAACTAACCTGCATTCAGTCATAATTTTTTTACTTTAATTTCCATTCAGAAAGAGAGCTCTGAATGGAAATTAAAATATTAAAGTTAACAAAGCAAATAACTTTTAATGTGTCATTTAAATGTTAAACTTAAACTGGATGTCTTCCTTACATATATTTTACCAAACCCTATATGTTACCTCAAATCCCAGGTCGGCCTCCCCAATAATACTGTTTTAATGACTTTCCTTTTCTAGAGACTTGGAGTTTTGTTAAATCTTTTGTTAAAGACTTATGTTAAAATCTTTTTCAATTTAACATTTTATGGAATACAAGAGACGTCTTTTCCTTAAACCCACATTCATATTCATTAAAATAAGTAGTTTATTATAGCCTCTGAAGTCTAGACTCTACAATCTAGGCAAATAGATAGCCGGTTAAAAACGGCTCAAATCCCAGCTTTGCCGCTTATCAGTTATGTTATCTTGGCCAAGTCATTTACCATTTTAAGCTTCAGTTCTTCATTCATAATATTTTATGGAGTTAACAGCAACAATAATATTGTATGTGGTTAATAACAATTCTTATTTCACAAGAATATGTGAGGATTAAATGGGATAATGAATATAAAAGGCTTAGCAATTACTTGGCTCCTAGCAATTGTTCAATAAATTCAATCCTTCAACAGATATTTATTGAACACCTACTCTGGGCCAACATTCTTCAAGATACTGAGGATACAGCTGCACTAATGGTTAAATACAATTCTGTGTCTATGGAACTTATATTTTACTTAGGGAAGAAAAATGATTAAAAATATATCATAATATAATGTCAGGTAAACAAAACCCTGACAAACAGAAATTAAGAAGAGTAAGGAGGGAGCAAAAAGGTGTGGTGTGTTATTTTACACAAGAGAAGGGCCTCTCTGATGTATGACATTTGAGGAGACACTGAATTAAGTAAAGAACAGACCAGGTACCTGTCCAATGTGTTTACTAATATAAGGATGATGATAATGGGTGACTAATAAACCTATATTTAAAATACCTTCTATCTTCCATATCTTTGCACAGTCTTTGGGAGGCAGTGTAGGAAAAAATCAATCAGTAGAAGATAAGGGATGTGTGGCTCAGACACCCACTAGTTTTATCACTATTAGAAAGTTAAATAATTTCTCTAACTCTAATTCCCCAGTTTCTTATACTTCTGAGTGAATTTGCATAAGGGTATGAAAATAAGAAAGAGACTACTTTGGCTACTGTGTGCTCCAATAAGGCATCATGATATTTTCATGGGTAAGAGCAAGAATAAATGGGAAGAAAAATAAATGGCAAATAGAAATTATATTGAGAACAAAATGGAATTCTTTATGTGGGCTAAAAATGAAGTCTAGCAAGATGGAAATTAGGTATTTTATTGCACACTATATGATCAAAGACATTAACATCTTACACAAATTAAATCAAGAAATAGATTCAGTTATAAGAATAGAAATAATTCCAAGGAAGATATGTAACAAACAATAGCACCATAACAAAATCCATACCAATGTGCTCTCTATTCATAATTGAAAGTTATCTTTCACAATCTTTGCTTTGTTATTTTTTTTTAAAAGAGTGACAGGATTCTTTAAATCAAGTATTTAACAATATTTACAATAAACTGAGATAATGATTTGTATTTTTCAAATACTGGTACTTTAGATCAGGTTAATAGTCTGCCAGATAAACTTTAAATTTCTACCCCATAAAACAATCATATATAGCCCTTTAATCTTCTATAGTTTCCAGTATATATTTATTTTCATAGCCAGTGCTATTAAATGATGAGACAATCAACTCCACAGTGACGGGGGTGAAGAGAAAGATAGTAGTATGTAATCCATTATCAAGATTCATTTTATAGACAATTTTATATAGTGAGGGCTATAGCTTTATTTAAAATTATATATTCCTACTCAAGCCTGTATCAGCATTGTTATTTCTCTCTTTCAAGGCTTTAGTCACTCAATTTAGACTTAGGTAAGACTATAGACAATGCAAATATTTGGGTGGCTAGAGAAATGGGGCATCAATATCTGAAATCTGGGTAGGGAATGGTGGTTCACTAGCACTCTGGGAGGCCAAGGCTGGAGGATAGCTTGAGGCCAGGAGTTCAAGACCAGCCTGAGCAACATAGTAAGACTCCATCTCTATAAAAAAAGTTTTTTTAAATAGCCAAGTATGGTGGCATGCCTGTACTGCCAGAGATCTGGGCAGCTGAGGAAGGAGAATAGCTTGAGCCCAGGAATTTGAGGTTGCAGTGAACTATGACGATGCCATTACACTATAGCCCAGGCAACAAAGGGAGATCCTGTGCACAAAAAAAAACCAAACAAACAAAAAAAAAAAACAAAAAAAACCCAAATCTCTGAAATCCAATCCAAGGTGTATATCCTGGGTAAAAAGTTTCTTCCTACACTAAATTTTATTCATATAGGGATACACTGGAATCAAAGTTCATACTTCCACATATATAACTAAATATACAAAACTCTTGTTACTTAAAGTGCTGAAGGGAGGACAGTGATTAAAAAAAAAAAGAGATGACACCTTGGTTTGTGGTTTGAGTAGCTGGGTATTTCGTGATATTACTTCTAAAAAAGAAGAACAAATTTTCGAGTTAAAGGTGATAAACTCACAGTTTGGGGTGAAAAGTAGAACAATCCAAGTTTTGGGAAAGATAAATCTGAGTTAGAAATAAATTTACAAATTGTTGATGTATAAATAGTAAATAAAGCCATGAAAATACATCACTTAGAATTCTGCAAAACAGCAGCATTCATTTATAGATGGAAGACTTTTTTTTTTTTGCTAGAGAAAAAAAATGTGACAACCTGTTTCAAACTAAAGGAGATTTTTTTTATGGCTTTTGTTAATTAAGGTGATAAGAAAATGAATAGAAAAATACTAACAAAAAAAAGCCAATTTCATAATTCTAGAAAATTGTTCAAGAAGGCCAATTCCTTAGCTGGAAAATTAAAATGTTTGGCAACTGTCAAAATCTTTTGTCAGAGAAATATTAAAGCTTAGTCCCTCAGTAAAGATTTAGTAATATAAAAAAGTACACATATAGACATTATTTTCTAGACTAACAAAAGAAAATAAAATAATTATTTTTTAAATTTTTAATTAGCTAAATCTGGATTATGCACTAGCATTCTTGGGACTGGCACTTCCAATTAAAAGCCATCCCTAGATACATAAAAACCAAACCAACAAAAATTAACTTACCAAGTTTTATGGCTTTCCTAGTTCTACACTATTATTCATATTAGACAGCCTCCAAGGGAAACGCCTCTTGCCAACCCCAGCCCAATTCCTCAAACATCAAAAGAGTTCAGAAGCTAAGTCAGCTCTCACTGTTCCACTTTGGTGTCAGCCTCAAAAGTTTTACCTTAAAAACAAAAACCTTCCTCATACCCATTCCTTCCCTCACAGATCTCTTAAAGCACGTGAAAGAAATATGTTCTATGATAGATCTTAGAGGTAAAAATGACCTAAAGAAATCTCTCATCCAGCTACCTGGATAAGGAAATTATAACTTAATGCTTTTCTGAAGACAAGTGTAACTTACAAAAGTTCCAATCTCTTATAATCCATTATAAACCTAACATCCAAAATTAAAATTCTAATGCATTCCTAATTGCTGGACATTTTCTTTAACCTATACAACTTAGAATCTTTTATAATCTGAATCTTTCAAAGTATGAGCCCTACAAAATCAAGAAAAGCTTCAAGTCTTTGCAGAAAAACTGAGAAAGAAAGAAAAAAACCAGGCCATTTGTATCCTAGCAAATACTAAATAAAAAGGCAGCCCATCTTAACAAAATCAAGGAAATTTTGTAATTCAATTGTGTTAGTACTAGTAGTGGTAATCACAAAACCTTTTTGTTTCTGAACTACTAGCAAATAATTTAAGAACTTTATTTACTGTGGAAAATGTTAACTCATGAAACATTCTTATGAAACAAACAAAGAAAGTATATATGAACCTACCTTAGGAACAGGATTCAGCAGAACTACACCCGATTTCTTAGTGATGACCTGTTTTGTTGAAAAGTGATGATCTATAAGTTGAGGGATGTTTGAAAACCCAGTGCCCTCAAATCGATACAGATTCTGGAGAGAGAACAATAAGGTAGAATAAATGTGAAAACATTGCTTGAGGAAGGCTACATCCATCTATAAATTACATTCCATTTAAAAAAAACTATCATTGCACAACAATGTAAATATACTTAACACTACTGAACTATACACTTAAAAATGGTTAAGATGGTAAAAAATAAAATAGATAAATAAAACTCCAACATGTTTTAAAAATCTACCTTTTGACAGAGAAATTAATTTTTACAATGATTAAATCCAATTCAAATTGTTAAAAAAAAAAAAACCCAAAAAACTAACAAACAGACCTGAAATACATTTTGCTAAAATGATAACCACAGGAAATAAAGCATGGGATATATCTGAGTTAAGGAACAGGAAAGTGTTTATGTATGTCTACATTTATGATCCATTTGATAAAACTTTCAATACCAAAAATAATGTCAAAAAGTTTAAGAATGTATATTCAATAAATAATAAATATTTTAATATCTTTCATCACTTATTTCCTACTTGTTAATTAATATTAATTGTTCTTCTATACTGGGGTTTTCATGTATTATTCGTCACCAACATGCTCTTTCACACACCTTTGATAAAAAATAAAACACACCAGTAACAAAACTGCAAATATCAACATGCTGAAATCTTAGCACTTTTTTGTTTCGTATCACCATGTAAGTAGCATTTCCCCCAAACTCTGCCAAGACCCCTTTCCTCTGTCTCCATATTTCAAACTGGCCTTTGGGTAGGTTATCATATTGATGAACTGATGTCAATAAATACAAGAAGCATTGCAATGCAATGTAATAAAAGCTTCCATCTGATTTTTCACCAGGAGCTCACCTGTACATACAGAGAAGATATGTATAGATACAAATATGGGTGTACTCCACTTAAGAAAACTCTACGTTCAAAACTGTCTAAATTTGGACACTATTTGTATTACTAGAAGATTATTTTCCCAGTTAAAGGTTTAAAAAAACTCAAAGCTCCTTTTCTATACTATAAATTAAGATTCAATTTGCCAAAATGTAATTTATATACAACTTTCTTAATGAATATTTATTTCATCAAGTAAGGTACAAACATGGATTAGTTTAACATTGGACTACAGAGTATAATTCAACTCAAGGTAGTTAGTGTTAGAGTCAATCAATTCAGGGAGGTTGTTAATAAGTTGTCTAAAGTTTTTGTGCATAGTAGACAAAGCTGCAATGATATATCAGCACTGATCCTTAAGAATATTTCACATTGAAGACACTAATATCTTTCTGGAAGATCTCTCAGTGTCTCAGCTTATTCACCAGTGAAATAGAGATACTATTTGGACCTCCTTACAGAACAAGCATGAGGCTTGACAAAGTATTAATGTATCAACCACTTGCCCAATATATGGAACATGGTATACACTCAATTATTAAATCATCATACAAATAATATAAGAAAAGAAATATCCTCAAAGAACACTCACTATAAATTACATGTTGTCAAGGAATAACAATTATCTACAAATAACTCAATTATCCTAGAAGGCATTCTTACATGTAATTGATTAAGAATGAAGAAATATAAAAGGTCATAGAAGTATAACATGTATTATAATAGTAACAACAATAATAATATTCTAACCAAACATAATGTTGCTCCCTTTGTCTTCCTTCAGTCTACTGCTCTTCTTATCGATCTACTATTTGATAATTGTTTTGTTTTCTAAAATCCCATATTACTTTAGGTCTTTCTTAGGAAATTTATCACCTTATTTAAACTGCTTCATTAGAATATAATAGGCAATCATTAAATATATGTTAATGAATTTTTATTTACCCCTTCTGGGCAACAGGTATATGAGGAAAGAATAGGATAATTTTAGTTTATGGAAGATTCACCTGCACAAAATGAAAAAGAATTAAAAACATCTATATCACCTTAAACTCCTATTTTCAACTCCTTGAGGAACTCAACGCTATATAGCTCCCTAGAAAAAAATTAGGCAGTAGAAAACCTGAGGCATTTACTAAAATACAAATCCTCTCATTTTTAACAGAGATATCTGAAAACCTTCAATGATAGAAGGAAGTCAGATACAACCTTCAAATGTGAACTTATAAGTCTTATTTTAGTATATATTACATTCTTCATTTTAGACACTTAAAACAAAATGGTGATATTAAAAACAAGTGATAATTTCCCAGTTGCCCCATTCCTTTTTGTATCTAAGAATACTAATTTAAATTCCTATAGTTACATTTTAAACTAGAAGTGGTAATAAGGTAAATATCTCAGTCTTCTTTAATGTAAGACATATTTCAAAAATAGTAATGTTAAAAATTTAAAAATAGAATGAAACATTCACATAAATTATAGTTAATTAGTTTACACTTTATCTACAATTCTTCCATCTACAATTCTCATCCCATTTTATAAATATTGGCAACCTGGTCAAAAATTGTAACAGGGTAGGTTATCTACCTCCATAACTTAAAGGCACATACAAATTACAGAAGAGTTTTGCCAAGGAAATAAAGAATAACATACTATTAGAAACAGTATAGTTTTTTAAGAAATAGGCTACATGTATAAAAATGGGCAAATACGATTACCAAGTTGAAGTCCAAATACTATGCAAAATTAACAAACGGTGTGAAAATTATAATAATGGATATACTTTTATGGACATATTCCATAAAAGTTTAGTCTAACTGAATGTCATCTATTTTCATTTAACTATAACTACATGTAAATGTACTACATACCACTGAATTGTATACTTTAAAAGGATTAATTGCACAGTATGTCACTTTAAAAAATATGTAGATATATACATAGATATATACACATATATATAAGTAAAAAAGTTACTAAGTTTCTAAAACCCTCTGAGGTTCAGCTAATGATCATGGTTCAATCCTTCTATAAGGTGATTAGTAAGTAATTAGTATCACTACAGTCCCTGAACATAAACTAAAATCCTATGTATAGCAAACTTGAAAATGCATGTCATTTGAAATGATGAGAGTAGAAAATGTCAAATAGAGGCAACAATTCCCTCATATGCCAAAAACATTAAAAATTTCTCTTTGGGTAACAGTGAAAATTTTGAAATTACTCTTTCTCTGTTTAATGCTCAATAAAGAAAATATATCAAACACAGAAGTAGTTTAGCAATATGTAAACTTCAAAAAATCAATTAGCATTAGAACAATGTGAATAGATTATTTTTAAAATTCCTCATCAGTTTGATTATTAATGCCAATAAGCGACAACTTATATATTAATATAAAAACAAAAAAACATTTCTTATTGAATCATAAAGCCAATTCAAGTATCATTGTTCCATTCATTAAGGAATTTCATTATCACTATTTAATAAGATATTTCTTAAAAATCCTTCATGGCACCATTTTGAAAGCAATTTCAAGGTCTAGTTTCAAAAGTATAAATTTCATAAACTTAAGTTTTCCTAAAAATAAAATTCATGCTAATCACATTTTTATTCTTAACTTAAAATATCTTTAATGTTCAAATTTAACTTAACATATTTTAAATAGTTAGGCATTTAAATTTAATTTATATTTTTAACAACTAATTTTAATTTAAAACATTTTTAAATACATGTTTCATTTCCTTAATAATATTTAATATGTTAGTAAATTTTGAAGTATTATATTTAAGGAATTCAGGGAAAAAATTATGTGCTAAGCTTTAAGAGTTACAGGTATTTATCACAAACCATTCGTCATTTTAATACAATCATATTACAATGAACTACATCAAAATATACATATAAGCTAAACTGGAAACGTACATCAAGATATTGTATGATAAAATGTCTCCTTTGTCCATCAGAATATACAGAAAGGACATATTCACCAGGTTTCCCATGACTCTCTCGCACCAAGAAGTCTCCTTGTTGTTTTAACAGTTCTTGTGCTTCTATTCTGGGAATTGCCCCATGGTACCAGTCCTGATCTGCCAGGGGCTTCTCAGTGACAGAGATCATATCAGAGAGCTTGAACAAATAATAAAAAAAGTTAATTAGAGAAAATGGTGATTTTTTTTCCTAGCAAAATTCACAACAATTATGAAAACTTTTCCAAATGTCCCTTCCTTTAGTTAACTAATTAAAAGCTGTAAGATGAATGTGAAATTTTCATAATTTTTAAAGAAAATATCTTTTGGAACACTGTTGCTGAAGTTTAGCACAAATATATCTCCTTCGATACTACTTTTTTTTCTATCATACAGAGGTACACAATATTAGCATTTAGAGTTACATTTACAAACTTATTCATCATAGCATAAAATAAATCTCTATGTTAAAATTTGTCAACCAGAGAAATTATGAAGAAAAAGAGGTATTATCAGACAAATATATCAGAAAACAACTTCACTTTTCAATGAAAAACAGAGTTATTTCTTTTTATGGAATTAACTCTCTATCACATAGGCTGTGGACTGTCTGTGCCGTGTGTTCCCAGAGCATTATCTCTGGTCTTGTTTGATTCTACCTTGCTGCTATGCCTTCCTGTCTTTATCCTTACTCACCTGACTTCCTTAACTATTACCTCTGTCACATGGCTGGCCCTGCTCTGGCAAAGCAATGGCAGATAAAGCCTTGGGAGAAATAGCAACTGAAAACCACCAATATGCTAGGACAAAGACATGGCAAAAACAAGGGAGGATTATACATGAGCACGGCAGGAAAAGTAAATTATCTGTTATTTTAGGAGGCCAAATGCTAATACCAAATGTCAGAGATAATTAAGAACTGACTGTATTTCCTTGAAATGTTCTAATTAATAGTAGATGGAATCATACATTTTCTGGTTATACGTAAAAAATGTTGTTGTTTTTTAATGAAACACAGAAAATAAACTGCTCCAGATAGTAAGACTATTTTATGGGTCAGGTATAATAATTTGCACTAACTCTTTTTTTTTTTTTTTTTTTTTTTTTTTTTTAGAGTCTCACTCTGTCACCTGGGCTAGAGTGCCGTGGCGTCAGCCTAGCTCACAGCAACCTCAAACTCCTGGGCTCGAGTGATCCTTCTGCCTCAGCCTCCCGGGTAGCTGGGACTACAGGCATGTGCCACCATGCCCGGCTAATTTTTTATATATATATCAGTTGGCCAATTAATTTCTTTCTATTTATAGTAGAGACGGGGTCTCGCTCTTGCTCAGGCTGGTTTCGAACTCCTGACCTTGAGCAATCCGCCCGCCTCGGCCTCCCAAGAGCTAGGATTACAGGCGTGAGCCACAGCGCCCGGCCTGCACTAACTCTTAAGGGTCTCATTATACAATAAGCACAATGTCTCATGAGAAAAGTAATTAATAAATTGGAAAATCAGAAATAATATGACTAAAAGGCAAATATTCACGTGTGAATTTTAAAGGTTGATATTATGAACTCTAATAGGGTAGTAAATGAAACCTAGATTTGAACATAGCCTTCATTCTTTAATACCACTAAAGAAGCCTAAAACTTATGGGTTAAAGTTCCATTTCTTATTATCTAAAACCCATTCTATTAGTTAAAAAAAAAAAAAAAAACTTGAAAAGTCCCAAATAGACCTCAAAAAAGGGTCCATATTTTAGTTTTTATTTCTTCCATTTGTGACATTTTTTTAACTTTTAAAATTATATACATGTTGTGACTATACATGGCAATTTTTTGTAAATGAAATAAGCCTCTTTTAGTACTAATTATGGTAAATACTATATTTCGAAAAAATTTTAATATGTTCCCCAAAATGAGCTTAAAGAATGAATTATATAAAGAACCAGCCACAATTATACTAAGGAAAAGAATAGTACTTTTAAAAACAAATGCATAGGCGTCAGGGGAGGTGGCTCGTGCCTGTAATTCTACACTTTGGGAGGCTGAGGCAGGAGGATTCCTTGAGGCCAGGAGTTTGAGGATACAGTGAGCTACGATGATGCTACTATACTCTAGCCCAGGAGACAGAGCAAGGCCCTGTCTCAAAAAACAAAAATAAGACAAATGCATAATCCATACAAAATTAACTCTTTTGTGTATATTGACATGAATAGTTCAAAATTCTTAAAGAAGGTAATCAAAATAATCAAATATTTCTTTTCCAAAATTTTATCCCAGTGCATCTAATTACAATAAATACTAAAATTTTTACTGTGATAGAAATATTTCTAAGTCTCACCAATGGCAAAAGTGCTTATTTATTCAAAAGTTCTCATTGAATATAAAAGTTCAATGTAACATCTTTGCAAAGGACTTGTTTTTATCATTGTCTCCTGAAAAGGTCTACATAATAGGAAAGCATCACAAACAAGGATGTCATATGCTTGATTTTCTGTCCTAGCCAAACTATCCTTCCAAATTTGCATTTATTTAGAACTGGGAGAACACAGAGCCCAAAGAATTCATTAAGTTGGAAAGGTATTTGAAGTATAAAAGCTCAGCTAACACTCTAAGAAATTCATTTAGGTATTTAAAGAAGAGTTATATGTTTGGGGGGGAAAAATCATCCTGAGAAAATATCTGTTTTGTTTTGTTTTGTTTTCAAAAAAGTAAATAGGAAGGAACTTCTATTGCCATTTCATAGAGATTACACTTCAATTTTATTTAAGCTTATTAGTTTCCTTAGGGTAGGAAGGGAAGCTCAGAGATCTGTTATTTCCTGTCCCTCACACCTACAGTCCCCAAAGGGGACCATACCAGTCTGTGGCCTGTTAGCAACTGGGCCACACAGCAGGAGGTGAGCAGCTGGCATGGGAGCTGGTATCACCCCATAAGCTCTGCCTCCTATCAGATCAGTGGCTGCATTAGATTCCCATAGGAGTGAACCCTACTATAAACTGAGCCTGTGAGGAATCTAGGTTGCCCACTCCTTATGAGAATCCAATGCCTGATGATCTGAGGTGGAGCTGAGGCAGTGATGCCAGTGATGGGGAACAGCTTGCAAATACAGATTATCAGTACCAGAAAGGTTTCACTGCACAATAAATGCAATGTGCTTGAATCATCCTGAAACCATCCTCCCTACCCCCTGCCCCCTGTCTGTGAAAAACTTGTCTTCCCTGAAACCAGTCCCTGGTCCCAAAGAGATTGGAGACTGCTGCCTTAGACAATGTTGTTATGAAATGTAAACTGAATACTCATTTACTGTGAGTATATGTATAGTACATATGTATACATATATACATACACACACAGGGAAAAGCAACACATGTCCCCGTCTACATGTATCAGCTCTTTCTTCTCTGGAAATATTCAAAGGAACATTTTTATTAATACGATTTCAATAAAATTCCAATACAATTTTGTAAGCTTGATAGTAATAGAATGTAGGGCAGCAGTTCCCAACATTTTTTGGTACCAGGGACCAGTTTCATTGAATGCAATTTTTCCACGGATTAGAGGAGAGTATGGGGGGAGGAGGAGGATGGTTTAGTTTCAGGATGATTCAAGTGCATTACATTTATTGTGCAGTCAAACCTCTCTGCTAATGATAATTTGTATTTGCAGCCGCTCCCCAGCGCTAGCATCACCGCCTCAGCTCCACCTCAGATCATCAGGCATTAGATTCTCATAAGGAGTGCGCAACCCAGATCCCTCCCACGCGCAGTTTACAGCAAGGTTCAGGCTCCTATGAGAATATCATGCCACAGCTGATGTGACAGGAGGCGGAGCTTATACTCTTGCAGTGATGAGTCAGATGGGAAGTGGCTGTAAATACAGGTTAAGCTTTGCTGCACCTCCAGCTGTGCAGCCTGGTTCCTGACAGTTCATGGATGGCACAAGTCTGAAACCAGGGTTGGGGACCACAGATGTAGGTTGTATCATCAACAATCTCCAACATCCCACGAACAAAGAAAACGTTACAAAGAAAACGACGCATCTTACCTCAAATATCCCATCTTTCTAAACCTCAGTGGGGAAAGATTTCTTCCTTGTTGGTAAATTATCTAAGATTTTTGCTAAAGATATATGGGGGTGAGAGGGAAGCCACCCATTTTTAAAGTTGCAGCTATTCCAAGAGTTACTAAGTTATATTTATAAGACAAGTTTTCCTGATTAACTGGGATAGCCATTTAGTTAGTTATTTTCCCCAGATCTTGCTCTTAAAGAATATTCCAATAAAAATATATAAGAATTAGTGAAATAAAGGGATTGGCTTAAATGAAAAGGCAATGTAGAGCTAGTACTAGAAAATGAAAGTATTTTTTTCTTAAGGAAAGAAAAAGACCATTTTTTCTCCTTATTCTAGTTCAGGCTAAGTCTCAAGTATGTAATGAAGATTTATATGTCTTTTCTCAAAATATCTGAATAGCAAGATGAGCTTCTTGAAAGGCAAAAAAAAATGTTAAAAAAAATCTCTACCCTATTAAAACAAAGCACACAAATAAACCATTAAAAAAAAACTATAATAAAACACCATGGAAAATATACATGTAAACCTCTTGCTAAGTTAGAAGAAACTAAATAAAACTTTAACACAAACATTTTTAAAAATTTATGATTTCTAAACCATAAAAATGAAATTTAATTCTCTTTTCTATTCTTATATGGACTTAGTTATTAATTTAATAGTCTAAGTAATAAATTATTCCAAATCTAGTTTAGCAATATACAGGGATAACTATGAGTAACTCAAAGGATTTTAAACATTTCTCAAAAATTCCATGAGACTGCTTTAATTTTAAAGCTATATATTACTGGGGAATTTTAGGAGGAGATGAGGAATCAAATGTCATACAATCAGAAGTAAGAGGATCACCAAATGTTTGCAAAAGATGAGAAATATTGGTTTATTGAATTGGAATGTACCATGTAAAAACTATTTTCTAAAGTGAAAGGGAAATGTAATCATTGATAGGAAAGTGTATTTCATACCATTTTGAGTTTGATTGTTAACATAAAATGTTTAATATAAAATCAAAACATGAAAAATAATGTTCTTCCTGTCAGTTTTTTTTTCCAAATTTCTAAATAGTTACAGTTTGAATCTATCGAATTAATTAATACTTAAAA